ACGTCTGCATCGATACACTTTGCGTACAGCATCACCACCAAGAATGTTCGAGGAGGCAGAGAACTCGGGATATGCGTGCACGCCGCAGAGGTTTCAAAAAGACAGACATACAGGGGCCAAGATCCATGTTAAGACATGGAGGCCGGACGTCCACAGTCGGATAGCAGAAGACGAACAGTCGTGGTGCCGTGTACTCTGGATCTGTTAAGTCGTCCTGTACACAAAAATCAATGAATCTCTTAGCCTTCCCCACCTAATGAGGAAACGAGGACCAGAAGCTCAGACATTCCAGGTTATTTAACGGTTCCCTGGGAAAAGCCTTCACTGTTCCTGTGGATACAAAATCTGAGAGAATAAAGGGGACGAACTGTCAATATTCAGAAAAAATTATTGCACAATTGTTACAAAGGTTGCTCTAGGTGCTCCTCGTTTATAGAGGATTAGTATTCAAGAAAAAAGCAGAAACTGCTCAAGAAATATGCTTGTTTTTAACTTTCAAACAAAGTTCTGCTATCAGGTAAAAGAAATCAAAGTCTATTTTCGGTCGTCTATTCTACCAGTGCTAGGATAGAAAACATTTTCTGCTCGCAGGCAAAACGGCACATGTCTGTGATGTGCAGTACTGGAGCGTGGTTTTACGCACCAAACGCATTTCCAACTCTCGATGTGAAATCGGTAAATTTAACGGACTCGGTTTGCTGCACGGAGAGTGAAAACTCCACAAATAGTGCACTACTTTTATGTGCCAGCCGCCATCGAAAAAGCCGAGATCCGACAGCAGTTATAAAAATTAAAAGTCTATCTGGCACGCCTCAGCTCATATCAGGTTCCTAGGTCAGGCTGAAGAGCTCAAGAATACTGTATGCTGTGTGCATGATCATTTAATAGTGCCTCTTTTAATAGCGTCTATGAGAGATCGATTCAAGTGCATACGACACGACACGCGAGATGGGTGTGTCTTTCAATATCAGTTCTAAAAATGGAGAAATTGTGGAGGAGATCTTGTGTGGGTGTTTGGTAAAAAGCATAAAAAACAAAAAAGACATTCAGGTCGGAAATATGCTTAAAATAAGTTGAAATGTGAACCCAAACGTTTGTGTCTTGGAAAGAGTTTTTAATCAGTTCACACTTTTTCGTCTAGCAGGGAAATTAGACTCAGCATCCGCATGTTCACTGTATCAGTTCAACTCCGGAAGGCACCCTTGGCGATGGAGTGAATCTATTTTTCGTTATATAACTCGAGCAAGGGTTTATAGATCTGGCTAGCCTTTGGATTTGACCACTGTTGCATCCAAATAACTATACTGGCTAAAAGAATGGATATCTGTATGCAGCTTTCGATGAAATATAATGAAATTTATAAGTGAATCGAAAATCAATGAGAAAAATTCATGCTAGTAAAGCAGTCTTTTTTACAAAGTATAATTTTTGCAGGCGACCGAGAAGAAGTTCGTTCAAAAGCCAGCATTCTGAAGCAACTGATTTATTATGGGATCATGATGTACTCGAGTAATCGTTCCGAGTCGAAAACGCATCTCAGGATTTCGGTTAACATTCCGTGAGTTAGCACACCTAATGCATGCCCTTTATATCAGCTTGCTGTTAACAATATTTAAAGATCGCTTTAAGTGATCTGCCCTTTAAGTAAGCTCCCTGACGAAGCTCACACAAGGCTTTCAGTGTTTCAGTAGATCGAAAACGAAAATCAAAACCGCAAATAAGTCCGATGAAAAGTTATGGAATAAAAATGTGATCAAGCATGGATAAAGGGGAATACGAGTGTACACAGAAGCTTCAGGTGTGTTCTACTCATCATCACAAATGCAGAATTTCAGTATTTCCTGTAAGGTGTATCGATGGAAAAAATGTCCACCCATCGCGTATGGAAGATACTGCAAATGAAATGGAAGATTTAATGAATAAACGTTGCGTAGTGTCAATGACATCTGGCAATTTATAAGCGAAGACACATTACTAGCGTTGAACTGTCAGGTAAACGGAAGATACCGTCAAAGTAAACGCTGCTATCAGATCTGGACTTCGACGAATGAACGAAAATGGTCGAGCAGTGACATTCGAAAGCACACCTCTCAGCTCTGAAAGTTGGCTACCAATCAAATCCGACTATAAACAATTTAGATTTAGTAGTGAAATACCGGTAAGTTAGACTAATTAAATTCTTCCTGTTTGGGTAATGAAAGAAGACGCTACCAAAATCACTGAAGTCCATTCACATCGTCTTCACGGGCGTAGCCCGTTATTTTCTGGCCCTTATCCTTAGCTCTTCAACTGCTTTTGTCTTAGTCACACCAACCGGACACTGGTCCAAAGTATTTTCGTCTAATTCGGCCCAACTTCGGTCGAGTTCTGTATCCAGCTGTCGTAGTCATGAATATATATGACGTTCCTTGCCCAACAGCTTGAGTCATTATTGGCCCCTCTCGCACTCTAACTAGTTGCATTGTTTTTTTTGGGCAGTAATTATCGGCCTACTTCTATGTGGAACAGCTTTTCCCACCAACCTCTCCGGTGTTCGCGGCTTTGTACGCAGGGAAATCTCCATCTGATGGTGTAGCAATCGGTCAGTTTAGTCTTGTTACGTGAATGCGTTTCGAATGCTGTGTATTAGCCTTTTCTGGTGTTCATGAAATGAGCACACTTTGGTCTCGAGGCATTAGACTGTAGGACGGTTGTAAAAATCTGACTGCTTTCTACTGCTGCTGACGGATACAGAGATGAATATAGTGGTAGGGGGGCGCTCTACGAAGACGGCTCCGTATGTCGGCCTAGCTGCCAGTCACTTGACATGCCCAATAGCGGTGGATGGTAGGGCAGATTTCAATGAAGGCTAGCTGTGAAATAAACAGGCTTTCCATTCAGCCGATTAATCAGTCACGTACCAGCAGTGATATTGTCATCATGAAACCGAGGACCGGCACGCTCACTCCAGTATCGCAAGGCCTGGTGAAAACACTGTGGCACAGCGACCGTAAACCGCCACTGAATAAGTCTGCTTGTCATCACAGCCTTGTGGGTAGGCTCTTTTACCTAAACCCTGGAGGAGACGATCCGGAAAAAAACAATCTGAGCGACTGTGGGAGGCCAGCCTGCACTCAGACTTCCCAAGAAATCTCACGAGAAATTATTCGACCCAAGTATCATGGTACATGCTACGGTGTCTGTAGGAACTTACACGCTTCACAACCCAGGACCAATGATATGGACAAGTAGTATGTAAGCTAGACTGCTTCTTCGAGAAGAGACACTTGATAATGGATGTCCTAATGTGCCAACGCTCCTCGACTATGGCATCCAACGTCCGAAGACATGTTTTCTTAATCAGTAGAAGGTGGATGTCTGTTATATGTCTCGGTTCAAGTCACCGACTCAGACTATTGGGATCTCAAAATGCGCACAGCCAACTCCCGCCTCATATGTCAGCAGCCATGCGACTCCTCAGGTAGACGGGCTGTGACGATGATCCTCTCGCAAAAGGCTAACCCGCATTGCCCTCGTGAGAACCAACCATTAACCAGTTACTGTATGTGCATCAGAGGGTGGTCTCTGTCGTCTCTGTGCACAGATAAGCATCAACCAGATGATGGAGAAGGCCTTGTACTCACAGTTGCATGAACTGCCTAGGGGACCCCCTAATTGTGATCTGCTGATTGGTGCGGACGACCGAAATGTCTCTCCAAGGAACCACCTCATTGACTGCATCGGGTTGATTATCAAAGCGACAGATGGCGAGGAGACGTCGAGCCCCTCTGACCAGAACTGGTTGTTTTCCATTAACGCTTTCTCCAGCATCGTCGTAGACATATACTGGCCTGCTATTCTAACAGTGGTGGTGCAGCCAGCCAGACTGACTGACTACATTCTAATCAGTTAGCATTTTCGTACTTGAGTGCATGATAGCAGGCTGAGGTGTGGTGCCAACACTGGCGACACCCGTGGGTCAGGAAACCTTCCCACGCACACATGCCTGAAAGTTCACCTTTTACTTTGTCTAAGGTGTGCCTTGGTGTCGCAGACTGGTGACAGCCCAACACGGCTGACACTCCGAACACAGAGTAAAAGGTAAAGGCGGCAGGAAATGATCATTACCGAAATCCTCCATATGAGTGGGGCAGTTGTGAGAATTTCAGGATTCACCTAACGGCGCCGAAATAATTAGGCCAGTCCTATGGAGGATTCCCTCGCCAACCTTGGGAGGTGAAGGAACAGTCGACCTCGGATGATCCCAAATACTACTGGACAGAGAGTGACCATCGCTATGGAGCTGGGCTCGAAGACCTGCAGCATTTGACAACTCTAAAAACTTATTCACCAAGCAAATGCTGCCATCTTGCCAATGAGTGGCTCTGTTTACGATGAGGAAAGTGGATTTATGTTTGACAACTTGGTCGATGGCGATCGCTGGTGTAAGCCATTTGAGGACCTTCTGAACATTGGTGTCAACCCCATCATTCCATGTCTCTCCTTCGCAGCGCTATTTTATCCCCCCCCCTACCAGCACGCGCAGTGTTCTTGGACCATCCGAATCACTGGTCAAGCCAAGTAGAGAGCATATTATGCATATTTTGCTTCATAAGTCTCACCGGGGTATTACTGCTAGTACAACAACAAATTCCATCCAAAAGACTCATGACGTTGACGATTTGACTGAAACAGAAGCGTGTAGAAAGTGGTTTTTCTGCTTCAGAACTGGGAAATTTTGCCTGCAGGAGTGGCCAAGGATGAAACGACCAAAAGGACTCAATCCAGAGAAACTTAATGATCTTATTCGAACTACTCCCTTCATTACGACTATAGAACTTAGCGAACAGTGGAATGATCGCCATTCGAATGTCTTGCAAAAGTTGAAAAGGACTGGAATGTGTCACTGTCTGGAAAGTGAGATCTTGAAAACCTGTCGGACGAGAACGGCCAACAGCGTGTAAGTTATTGCGAGTCATTGATTACGCGACATCTCGAAGGTCCACTTTCGAACAGGGTTGTTATTGATGGCAGAAAATGTATCCGTCAGCAGAACGATTAGCATCATCATCATCATCATCATCATCATCATCATCATCATCATCATCATCATCATCATCATCATCATCATCATCATCATCATCATCATCATCATCATCATCATCATCATCATCATCATCATCATCATCATCATCATCATCATCATCATCATCATCATCATCTTCGTCGTCGTCATCGTTGTCTTCGTCGTCGTCAGTGGATCAGTCGTGAAGACCAACCAGCCCGTGAACAAAGGGGAGACCTTCATCCCAAAATGATCATGCGGAGTGTGTGGTTGGACATCTAGGTAGTGGCCCACTATGAGCTGTTGGATTCCCATTCAGACAGCCAACGCTGATGTGTATTGCCAGAAGCTGAGCTCGTCTTTGCGCAAACGAGGGCGATAATTCTCCATTATGTGAATGCCCGTCCCTCCATCCCTCTCTCCACCACTGCAATAATCACTAACGATGTATGAGAATAAGTCAACTAAGGAATATACTGCTCCCACCTTATTATTTTGAGCATGCTCTTTGGATTATGATTTATTCGGAAGTTTAGGAAACCATTTTATTGGACTAAGCTGAACATCGAGGAAGGAGTTTGAATATATGTTGGCTTTTCTTTGCTCACCAAACCCTGGGCTGTTTTGAAAACAAGGCAATGACAAGCTAACCGGATGTTGGTATAATGCTAAAACAAAATGCCAGAAGGGCGCTTTTTAGTCAGTGCATGTCTACGGGTGGTAATTTTTAATTTTCAGTGTTCATACTAAAAGCCAAGGTAACTTTAGTTCCGACATAACGATACTAATAACAGGGGTCCGAAGATGGCGACATCCCGGCTAATCTACAAGTCCTATGTCGAAATCCTTGCTCTATGAGGTAATCGTGCAAGCGTGGGTGGGTGAAATCTTTCCTTATCGCTGGAACTTGGTCGCGGATGCGCCCATCTTCAAAAATGAAAATAAGACAAATTGCGAGAATTACAGCGGCGTATGTCTTAATAATATTGACGCGCAGGTCCTTGAAATCGTCATTCTCAGACGGCTTCCAATAGTGGTTGACTGTAGGGCGAGAACTAACTCAGTCCGCTTCCCGACTTGATGTCTTTGCATCGGCCAGACATCTACACTGCAGCGCATGCTTGGCTGCCAGCGAACGACGGTTCCCCGCTTTGATGACTTCGCCGCAGCGTTTTATTTCGTTCATCATGATTACCTCTGGTAGGTAGTGGAACCAAACGGTATAGCGATAAAAATCATCGTTGTGATCAGGGCCTGCTATCGCTCCATCATTGCGCCTGTTTCGGTCAGTAACAGTCTTTTCCCGTCGTTCACTATTAAGTCTGATATGCAAAATTTTGCATTCTATTGCCTGTCCTATGTAACTATGATATTAACTGGATTTTGGGGAGGGATATAAGCAGTTTCGACAATGTTGAATATGCACTCAGGTGTCGTCTGACTGATCTCAACTACGCTGACGATATGGCCCTGCTGCCGCCAAGCTCTGGTAGCTGGGATGGTTAAATCAGTCTGTTGATCCATAAACACCGGGAAGCACACTGTGTTTTCGAGTTGCATCCCTGACCAGGAGAAGCCATTTCGCGGGATCAGTGGATGTCAGCTTGAAGAATTGGACAATTTAAATACCTAGGAGCGAGGCCACTGCGCAGTGGACATAGTGAGAATGACATCGTCTCCGGAATTGGTGCTGCTCGCGTTGACTTTACTATCCTTATAAAGTGTTTATGGGCCAACCCGATATCCACATCACCAGAAAGAGGTGCATGTTCCTAACATCGGTCCGATCGATTTTCTTATGCGGATGTAAATCTTGAGTTGCGCTTGTGAAGTATGAACGAAAGCCGGAGGTGTTTGACCACCGTGGCTCGAGGACCGTTCTTCGAGTGAAGCGCTAAGACTTCATCCCAAATGAGACAGTCCGTCTCCGCTGTAACAACATCGCAGTGATAACTCCGAACATCCAAGAAGATGACTGTTGTGGTTTGAACGCATCCTACGTCATCTTCCAACCCATGAGTTCAGAGTTGCTGCCTTTAATCCGGCACTGTTGCCCACCTGGAATCGTCGAAATGGAGGTCAACTCGAAATATGATTCGGTACAGTTCACCAGGACGTGGAGGCGGTTTTTGGACCTTCTGTATTTGGTCTCTGTCACGGAAGAAGAGAATGGGTCGAGCTATCTGGATCCATTGCCGCAGATCGCCACGTGTGGATAGGTAAAATTCGCGGCATCCTCGAAGCCGGCTTGATCAGGCATGATCGTAACCATGTCGAGGTACTATTTAGGATGCAACGGTCCTAGTCGTCCTGTCCTGGGTCTATGTAACATGACCTCCACACACTATTGCGTGGGGGATCTTCAAAATGTGACCGTCGATGTCGAATAATACGATGTTTTGGCCTCGCAAATTAAGTTTTAAATGAGCTATTCTGACATCGATCGGGACTGCCTACTGCTGTTGCTACAATGATTCGTCTTTATGAAAGTTTTATTAAGCACTCCGACCCCCTGCCCGAATGGGGGCATCGTTACAGTAATTGTCAACTGGATAGTTGGATAAGTGTGCTAACGCTAGATCTAAAAAGGTGCTGGATAAACGGTTTGTGATTTCCGGTAGTGGTACATCAAACGAGCAAAGATCGCTGAGTGTCTAGCTAACGCGCACAAGGCATAGACTGCACAGAATTTTTGCTCAGTTGATACAACGCCAAACGTATCCATGTACCTCTTGGGTACATCTGTCTATTTTCTTCACCTCTTTGCATGCCACTGTATGTCTACCAAGTACCTCCTTGTACTGTTTTGTTTTGTTTTGCTTTGCCGATGCTCTTCTATGGAAATGGAAAGATTTTGCGGTCAACTCTGCCGCTACTTCCCCTCGTACTTTGAGAAGAGGAAAATCTGTGCCGTGATATTTGACTCCAGTGAGTTTTGTAGGACCTGGATTCGCAGGTGGCACTGGCATCGTATCAAGAGCTAGCATCGCTTATGTTGACATAGTGGCTGGCCTCTGAGCCGTTTTCCGCAAACTACCGACCACTCCCATTTGTGCAGGTCAGTAACTTCATTACTTCCAGGCTTCCTACCCGCATAGCCTTCCTGATATTCTGGCCTCTGAGCCGTTTTCCGAAAACTATCCACCAATCCCATACTTGCAGTCGGCATGTTCATCATGGCAGGGGAGGCTATAAGGAAGACACTAGTGTTGGGCTTTTGTTTCTACACTAGGAGCACAAGGGCAATTTTGCAAGCAGATGCCAACTTTTTCTGCGGCACGCCGTGTACGTAGGAGCGAATGCTTTGCCTACGCGACCAGGCAGACTGGCGTTCGCCTGGAGCCAGCTGGCGGAGACCAAACTATCGATCAGCATCAGGGCTATTGTGTTCATCCTTCTGCCCTTCCACCGGCCGTCGGCGCAAAATTCGGCCCCGTTTTGTCAGCGTCGTCAGCGTTCACACCTCATGGCGTGTCCCGCGCTCGAGAAATCTCATGAATGAGTAATTAGCATGGCGTAGAGGTGAGCATGATCCATGCAGACTACTTAACTGAAATTGCGGTAAGCAGAACGCCCCATTGTCCGTCTAGATGGTGGTTATCTTCCCAGACTTGGTTTAATTAGCGGAAAAGGAGTGTGAATGAGCGAAATTAATTTAGACACCAGTTTGAGTGCACAGATTAACCCTTTCTATCCTTCAATATTTGTCCTGAGTAAATGGCTTGTCTGATTGACAGGAATCTATAGTATGCCATATTTGTGGGGGGTAGGGGTGTCCGGTTTTGGATCCACGTGATCGTCGTAGTAGGTCGCTCACTTGCCTACAGGTGTAGACTAAGTCTAGCGTCAACCATCTGGCACCCAACTCTCGCCTGTGACCAATCAAAAATAGGCTCTGCCTAGCGGCAACACCCAGGCAACAGTCTCGACCGGCGGCCTAAGCCACGTGAGGGTATCCGTGCGTGCATCTCCGTACACGGTAATTCGGCTCCGCTCCCATCATTGATAGCCGGATGGATCACGGCTTCTGCTTCTCTAAGATGAGGCTCCGTCTGCAACCCCTCAGGAGGCCACAAACCCTCAGCAAGCTACTGACCGTCCCCTTAGTTCTCTCTCTCTCTCTCTCTCACCTATTCTCCGCTCCTCTCCACACTACGCCACACTCTCTCTACCCCCTGCTCTACTCTCTTGCTCCACGGCCGAAAGTCCCACGGATCGCCGCATCGCCACCTCCAAGATGAAGCCTCGTGTGCAACCCTGCAGGATGACACCTGATAAGTAACCCCCCCGCAGGTAAGCGAACATTGTTCTATTGCCTTTGCTTCTTGTTTGCTCTTGCTTGCCTGCTTTTTTGTCTGCTTGCTTGTGTTTGTCCTTGTCGTAAGCTAAACGCCGTTCTGTTGGAGTTGTCTGTTCACCGCTTATATATTTCAACAACCAGTTGGCCTAGAGAGGAACGGAAAATCCTGCTTCCCGTTCCTTTAATCTTCCCCTCCCCCACTCAAAAGTCCTATACGGAGAGCCACAGCAACCACGTAGGCGGCCCAGGCCAGCTCGGGTCGTTCTTCCACTAAACAAATGTCGTGGCCCATAGCGGAGTGCCTCAGCCGTTTGGGATAACCGAGCAGCTCTATTTAGAGACAGCACCACTGCTCACTCCCGCGAGGGGGAAGGGGCTAGAAAAGGTGCCCTGAACAAATTCTGGGGATCCACGCCCTCTATGCGCTGACCGTGGCCCGCAGGCGCAAAACGCACGGTCGAAACAATCAAATCCAAAACAACGCTCTCTCTTCCCCCTCCTCCTCTCCACCGTCCCACTAGCCAGACTAGCGGGGTGAGTCCGCTCACTCTGGCAGACTGGAATGCTCGTTCCATTTTAGACAATCCGAGGAGCAACCGATCGGGACGGAGGACGGCGCTAGGGACTGGGGAACTGGCGCGCTACAAGGTGGACATCGCTGTACTCAGTGAGACCCGCTTCTCTGAATAAGGCCAACTGGAAGAAGTGGGTGTCGGCTACGCCTTTTTTTGGAGTGGTCGACCCAAGGCAGAGCGACGGGACGCGGGTGTCGCCTTTGTCATCCGGAATTACATCGTGAGACGACTGTCGCAGGGCATCAACGATCGTCTGATGGGCCTCCGATTGCCCCTCGCCACCATCGTTAGCGTCTACGCTCCACTGATGACCAGCCCTGACGAGGCGAGGGACACATACTATGGGGACCTACACGTCCTCCTGACAACTGTGCCGAAGGCGGATAAGCTGACTGTCCTTGGTGACTTCAACGCCAGCGTCGGCACAGACCATGCTGTCTGGAGAGGAGTGCTCGGCCCCGTAGTCTCCATGGCTCCTCCTATGAACCTGCGCAGAACACCGGCTCATCATAACCAACGTCTTCTTCTGCCACCCGATGCGAGAGAAGGCCATATGGATGCATCCTCCGTCACGTCATTGGCACCTACTGGACTATGTCCTCGTCCGGAGGCGAGACCAACGGGACGTGCTAGTGACAAGAGCGATTCCAGGTGCCGACGGGTGGACCGACCATCGCCTTGTCATCTCGAAGATGCGTATTCGCCTACAGCCTCGAAGGTGACTTCAAGGTAAGCGAACCCCAGGTAAGCCGAATATTGTTTTGTTTTCTTTGCCTGTTCACCATCCCCATTTCAGCAACGAACTAGCTCAACGGCTAGACAACCCTCCAGTCGCTGCC